AAGAAGAAGAAGAAGAAGAAGAAGAAGAAGAAGAAGAAGAAGAAGGAAAAAAGCATATAAATTACAGTATCATAAACCTTTCTCTTTTCAGATTTGGGGCTGGTGTGTCGTTAATAATGGATTTGATCATCACAATCCAGATATGAAATCTTCAGTTGAAAACCAGATGCTTCTTAGGAAGGGTAGGAGCGCCCCCTGCTGCGCCATTTGCAGGCTGAAGTTTCACAAGGTGGAAATTTGGAGAGAAGTTAAGTTAGTTCTTTGATGCTGAAATACCTTGTAGTTAGGAGGGGAAATGAGATTTTTTAATGTGCTGGTCTTCATTTCCTCAGCAATGCACACCGCAGCAAAGAGACTCTCCAATTTCTTCCATTATTATTTCTAGTATTTAATACAGCCAGCCACATTAGAAATGACAACATCTCAGTGGAATCGTTCCTTACCACTGGAAGGGCAGTGGGGGTCAACTCTTTCCTCTCTTTCTAACAGGCCCCTCCTGGACAGCAGAACAGTACCATGGACACCCCTAAAGGTGATCTCTTAGGAACCACAATAAGACAGGATAGCCACCGAGATGACAGGCCACTGATTCTACATCATTTGGTGTTCTGTTCTGGACAATGACTAAGCTTGAATCTGCAAGAAGAAGTTCTACTATCATCTAGACATACGCAGAATGCCAATATTGATCTAAAAACAGCCAACCAGCTCAATCACTTGACCACTTACTACCAGAAGAATCACTATAGGTCCAGATAACCAAAGACCCTCTAGATAGCTGGGATGGTATTCAACCAAAATTCACTGTGTTCAACAAATATTTGGGAAGCACTTAAGTTCTTTTGGCCCCGTGTAAACAGAAAACAATACTTTCAACAGAGTACACTGTCTAAAGGAGAACACGGGCAACACACAAGTAATATCCAAAAGGGATGTATTTCAAGACACAGGAAATGGCATGAAGGAAAATACAAAGTGCCATGGGAGTCTAGGCAAGTGGGAACAGTTTCCTGAGGACTCGGCACTGGAACTGGCAAAACAATCCTGAGGAAATCTTGAGGGCCAGGAGAAGGCGTATCCCAGCAGAGAGGGTCTAGTCACTCAGCATGAACTGGTCAAAATACCCATATCTTTATGACCAAAAAAAGAGACAAAAACCACAGAAAATTTTCCCAGGAGTTAACCAAATCCCATCACAAAAATGAGCTGCCAGTTTCTATGGTGGACACAAGAGGGCAGTGGCGAGCGAAGCCTTCCACAAAGTGGGCATGCTGGATTATGACGTTATCTGCCTGCTGGGAGTTGTGGATCTACTGGGCCCTTTGCTTCCTCTTTGCACACTTTTTGTTTGTTTCCTTGTTTGTTGGTTGGTTGGTTGGTTGATTTGAAACAGAAGCTCCCTCTAGCCCCAGCTGGTCTGGAACTCCCTATGTAGACCAGGCTGGCCTTGAAATCTCTCAGAGACAGCCTGCCTCTGCCTCCCCAGCGTTGCTAACTAAAGGTGTGTGCCACCACACCCTATTATCCTCTTTGCATACTTTTAACAAGTTGTATGGTGCTTTTTGATCCTGTCATAACAAGATGCCACCTTGGACTTTGCTCTGGTAGCCTTAACAACTAGAGCAGAGCAATGCAGTGGTAGCCAGGCCTGTCGTAATAGCAATGGAGCTGTCGACACTCCCTTGCCTACTGAAAGTGATCTTGGGAGACATGCTAGAGTACATACAGAAGTAAAAGAACAAGTAAAAGAGGGACTATGACACAGCATCCACAGGGGAGTAACTTGGCAGTGATGCAGCTGTGTGGGAGTCACCCAAACTCCTGTAAGTATCCCCTTACCATGCCCTGTTAAGAAAGCTCAATACCCTCATTGGTCTCATCAAGTTGTACTCTGGGGAAATCATACTTTGGTTTGTCATTGGTACCCATCTGGAGTGACTGGACACTCATTTGCATCTTCCATGGAAAAGTTAACACATTGTGCCATGCATGACCTCAATACCAGAGTCTTCTTTTACATGGACATGATATCCTTACCACACTCTTTCCCTCCTGGATTCCAATATCCTTGTATTAATAAAGCTCCACACCAAAAGATCCTACAGTTTTATCCTCATCTTCTGACAATGGCTCACAAAGATGGTCTGCACTTAGACAAATGTCACATTTTCTCTCATATGAAGGGTCTGGATGTGTGTGTGTGTGTGTGTGTGTGTGTGTGTGTGTGTGTGTGTGTGAGTATGTGCATACATGAAAGCAGAAGGACTATATGAAGGGAGGGAAAGAACCAATGAGAGAGGAGGAGGAATAGAAAAGGGCAGTGGGGGTGCACATGAGCAAGGTGCGATGATATATGTATGAAAATGCCATAGTGAAACCCATTATCTTGTACACTAAAAATGTTAAGAAAGGAAAGGCGATTCACAACACTGCTTTTCTGCTATTTAAATAAACATGTATTTAAATCTTACTATGTGCCTGGAAAGTTCTGAGACTTTAACAAATAGTAACTTGTTTAAATCCCATTGTAACCCTTTGAGGTCATTAGTCACATTATCCCCTTGTTAAAATTAAATGACTGAGGCACCAAGAGGATAAGAGCCTTTTCCTGAGATCACTCAACTGACAAGTGTTCAAGTCACAGGGTGAGTCCAGGAAGAAACCACTCTGAAAAGCACCCCTCCATCCCTGAAGCCTCTTCTTAGCACAAGCAAAGATTCATTCATAGTGTCCTTTCAAGATAACTGTATAGTTCCACATCTCAGGTGGGTAGAATTCCATTTACTAATCCAACTATGCATCTCCAATCCTGTTCTTGCTCCCCTTGAACGCTATACCTGTTCTGCCTCTTCACCTGCTTTCATCCTAACCTCTTTCATCATAACCTTCCATCCTAAACTCTCTCCAGGATCCAGGATCCCTCCCCCATCTTTCCTCTCCACTTTGTTTTTTTAAATATTTTATTTATTATTTTACATGTATGAGTGCATTGTTTGCATGTGTGTGAATATACCCGTGTCATGCAAAGCCCGCAAAAGACAGAAAAGACCGTCTGATCCCCGGGAACTGGAAAGTTGTTAGCTGCTGTGTGGGTGCTGGGATTCAAACCTGGGTCTTCTGCAAGGAACAACCAGTGTTCTTAACCACTGAGCCATCTCTCCAGCCTCCTCCCCACTTTGTATCAATAGAAAGTTTGTTCTGTCTACAACCCCCATTGCAGCACCACTGCCCCACAGGGTGAAGTGAATCTTCATACCAGGTCCTCCATGGGCTGGTCCTGGTCTGCCTCTATGTTCTCACTTCTGAAAGCCATACTTCATTCCCCACGCCAGGCTCCAACTTGCTCATCCCACAGACCTGGCTCACCTGGGGCTCATACTCAGGCATCCATGGACTCCACCTGCTTAGCCTCATTCTGGGAGACTCCCCCATGCACCAGTGCTCAGCTCAGCTGTTTTCCCGCTTGCCAGGTCTCTCTGAACACCCTGCACTCTCCCTCCCCACAGCACAGTAGTCCTTTTCTTTCTGCTACCCCTAAACCACGTGCCTTAGCTAGAGCCATGGTGCAGGCTGGAGGGGGGATAGGGCATACAGTACTCAACACAGGGGAAAGCTTAAGGGAATGCCAAAATATCCCCTTAAGATGTAATCAAGATAAATATTTTAATGTGAGAAAATATACATAACAAGATTTTTTCCAACCACTTTAAGTACACGATTGGGTGGCATTGGTTATATTCACAACTTTATAAAACCATCACACTATCCATTTCCAGAACTTTTCATCACCCCCCAAACAAAAGCCCTGTACATTAAACAGTAACTCACCATCCCACTCTCTGACCAGGCTTGGAAACCACTGTTCTACTTTCAGTCTATGAATTCGCACCTGTCCTACATCCTTCATATAAGTAGAGTCATATAATATTTTTGTGTGGCTGACATATTTCATTTAACAGAATGAACATAAATTATATTTTAATAATCAAAATTAATGCCAAAAATTCATTTTGAACAAAGATGGAAGTTTTAGACAAAGATGGGATCAGAATCACTGATTTTCCCTTTTTTCCTCAGGCTCTACCGTACTCAGCACTGATGCTCATTTTATGAAAATTTGGAGAATTTTTAAAATTAATTGTTGTTTTCAAAACTGTCACATGAAAATATTTATCTCAGTTACTGACACATTGTCCGCATTCCCTCTCATTGCAAGTGGCTCACACGACTCACCCCAGACCCAAACATGAAACACCAAGTCTTTTCCCCAAATAAGCACCTCAACGAAGTACAAGATAATCTGCTCCTACACAAACAGCCTCAGAGCCAATCCTGTCACGGCCACCAGCGTCCCTCCAGTGCCTCCTACACTCTTCGGCCACAACCAGGTACCATCACTGGTTGGCTGTCCCATGCTCTGTGGCTCTTTCTCTAGCTGCCTAGTCCATGAGCTCCAGGAGGAAGCTAAGCCTTTTTCCTGGAGTCTATACTCCACTTTTATGTTATTAGCCCACAGAAGACACATAATAACTGCTGAATGAGACGTATTCCCACCATTCATAACTATTTCAAGGTAGCTAGAAGAAACTTTTGGGCAGCTCTGCAGACACTGCTGTCCCCTGTAGCCGCTTGCTGTCAGTCATAGTCAACCCCACCGTGTTCTTCGACATCATGGTCGATGGTGAACCTTTGGGTCATATCTCCAACGAACTGTTTGCAGACAAAGTTCCAAAGACAGTAGAAAACTTTTGTGCTCTGAGCACTGGAGAGAAAGGATTTGGTTATAAGGGTTCCTCCTTTCACAGAATTATTTCAGGATTCATGTGTCAGGGTGGAGACTTCACAACTCATAATGGGGAGAAATTTGAGGATGAGAACTTCATCCTGAAGCACACAGGTCCTAGTATCTTGTCCATGGCAAATGCTGGACCCAACACAAATGGTTCCCAGTTTTTCATCTGCACTGCCAAGATTGAGTGGTTGGATGGGAAACACACAGTCTTTGGGAAGATGAAGGAAGGCATGAGCACTGTGGAAGCCATGGGGCGCTTTGGGTCCAGGAATGGCAAGACCAGCATGAAGATCACCATTTCCGACTGTGGACAGCTCTGATACTTTTAACTTGTGTGCATCTTAACCACCAGACCATTCCCTCTGTAGCTCAGGAGAGCACCCTCCGCCCCATCTGCTCTCAATATCCCATAATCTCTGTGCTCTCGCTGTAGTTCTTTGGTTCCATGTTCTCCTTACTCCCCTCCAAGTCTAGCTGGATTGCAGAGTTAAGTTTATGATTATGAATAAAAACTAAATAGGAAAGAAAAGAAACTTTTGCCTAGGTATGTATGGCATAACTAGATATAGGGAGGCATGAACAAACATATTCACCCCAGACTGAGCATGGATGACAGACCAATAAAAACAGTTCCACCCAAGTCTAGCTTAAGGAATCAGTGAGTTTATTGGGGTTACCTACAGAAGCATCTGGACTCAAAGGTAACTGCATTACTGCCCACCTGAATACGGACAACTACTGGGGAAGTGTGTCCTAGGCAACCACAGAGTCTCCTCTCCCCAACAGTTGTTACTGTTTACATAACTTGGGACAGGAAGCTTGTGGATCTTGTAAATTTTTAAATTTTTTATGTGTATGTGTATACTGCTTGCATGTGTGTAAGTGCACCTGTGTTGTACAATGTCAGAGGACAGAAGAGGCTGTTGGATCCCCTGGAACTGGAGTTACAGACAGTTGTTAGCTGTCATGTGGGTGCTGAGATTCGAACCCCAGTCTTCTGCAAGTACAGCCAGTGTTCTTAAATTCTGAGCCATCTCTCCAGCCCCGGATCTAGTAAATTTTAGGAACTTCATGAGACTTGTAGATTTCATTTACTTCTTCAGTCAGCCTTGTTCCTAGAAGGGATGTTTCAATTTAGAGGAACTAGCTACACAGCACAAGCTTAGTTCCAACAACCCATAATCCATGTAGGTTCAGATGAAAGAGCTAACCACCTAGAAAGTCTTAACTTTGATATGCTTCTGAAAAGAGTGTTTGAAGATTACCTGGACTCCCACTTGCTGTCAATCCTCTAGTGTGGTACAGCCCACACTCTGGCTACCTTCACCCCACTCTCCCCTCAGGCGTCTCTGACACAGGATAATAATAATCCCTGAGGATTATTTCCTCCTGAGTCTCTGCAGGCTGCCATGGCTCCCTTGGCTGGGTCACACCTGGCTGGCAGACCTGGCTGCACCTCTAGCAGGAATGCCCAGCCCTATTTGGTTTACTCATCTTAATTCCAGTCTCGTGGCCACAGTTCTGACATTGGCTTAGAGTCTCCAGCCACAGCCTATGGTTAGTGTCCCCTGGGTTTCAGGTCCTAGCCTTATGATTTGTAGGCATTTCACATTTTGAATTTAGTTTGGATCCCATCATCTGAGCTAAGATTTTATTTTTTACTTAACACCAGTAAGTAAAAGGGTGTTTCCAAAGTCTTAAGTGACTGGAATCATTCATCTGGCTCTACATTGACAGGCCTTTAAAGTAAAACCAAACATCACAACACCCAAAATCTCAGCTCCTGAATCTGTCATCTGTATCAGAGCCAAACCTCCCCACCCTAATAAAGTTTGTTTTGCCAGTAACTGGGGTTTTGTTTGGGTCTGTTTTTGCTGTAGCTGTTGGATTACTTAGCATTATAACTAGAAAACTTCTTCCTTTCCTTGAGGATGCCCACCAGGCTTCTTCTTCTCTCCTGTTTCTATAAACAGTACTAGCCAGTTTGTATATTAAAATCAACTAAAAAAGAAATGTGATAAGACAAAGAGCCCAAATGCAAGATGCCAACAAATGTCATGTAACTGCCCCAGCATCACCTTGCCCAGCGCTTTACAAGAAAAGCTGAGCTGGAAGCAATTAAGCTTCTCTTTGCAATTAGAGGAAGGCCAGAATTAACTTGCAAATACTGAGTACAACTGGAGGAAGAAATGTACATTTGAGGAAGATGTAGCTCCCACATTCTGGAAAATGTTGGAAGAAACAGCCAACTCATGAATTTTAGGCATGGAATAAATGCTCTCGAACCCTGGGTCTGCAAGACTGCTCAGTAGGTGGGGGCACTCAAGCCTGATGACCACGTTTGATTCCCAGAACCCACAGGGTCAAAGAACTAGACCAACTCCAGCAAGTTGTCCTCTGACCTCCACACAGACACTGTGGCACACATGAGCCCGCATTCACATACATATCCTACGCTCACACACGATAATAATAAGTAAAGTTTTGCAAATGCCTTCAAACATTGGGAAAGGCAGAGAGGTAAACACGGAGTTTCCTTCATGATGCAATTCAGTGTTTAAAGGTTTAGTGGGTTTCATGGCACAATCTACATCTCTTCATATGGAGTGTAATTACAAATAGTGAAGCAATTTTCATATGTGCCTTTTGAGATTAGTAGAATTGGTCTATAGTATACCTGCCCTAGATAATTTGAATAATTATACAATGACAGCATTTACTATATTATCCTTACAAATACCTACTAAAGTAGTTTACTAGGGTCACAGACGAGTGTGAAACAGACTAGCCAACTTCAGCATCCAAAATGTATTGTCTCACAGCTTATGAGGCTGTTAGACAAGGATCATGCTGTTGGTTGAGTCCATTTCCTATGTGGGCTCTGTAGGAAGGATCTGCCCTGGGCTCCTGACCTTAGCTCTGGATAGCCATCTTCCTTCTGCGCCTCTTCATGTCATCATCCATGTATGTCTGTGTCTGTCCAGACCTCTCCTTTGTGTAAGTATAAGCATCATATTGAATTAGGGCTACCCTAATGATCTCATTCTAACTTGATTATTTCCTTAAATACCCTTTCTCAATGTAAGGTCACACTCTGCAAAATTTTGACTCCAGTATAACTTGAGGGAAAAGGCTTAAGGGAACGACCAATTCAGCCCCTACTGTGGTACATTTCCGTTTATTTACTTCTGGAAGGATGTAATATGTATATATTATCATAAAAGTAAATTTATATCATTCCTGTAGTCTCTGGACTGGGTACACCCTGGACTGGGTACAAGAGGGATCCCTGCTAGTTCAGCTTGTGCCCTGGGCTGGACAGGGGAATCACAGTGTGCCTCAAGCTACAATACCAGGATCTAGGCAGGTGACAAAAAGTGAAAGACAGAGCCACCAAGATAGGAATCTCTTGGTTCTAGTCAAGAATGTGACATACCCATCATCCCAATACCCCAGAGGCTGAGGCAGGAGGACTACTGTGAGTTCAAGACCATCCTGAGCTACAAGCAAGGACCAGGCCAGTACCAGAGCTATATAGCAGGACCCTGTCTCAAAAGTCAGGGGGGGGCACTGGGGAGCTAGTTTAGTCAGTAAAGTGCTTGCCTCACAGGCTTAAAGACCCCAGCTCAGTCTCCAGAACCCACAAAAAAAAAATGTCAGTTATGATGGCACGCACTTATAATCTCAGTACTAGGGGGGCAGAGGGAGGCAGATCCCTGGGGCTCACTGGACAGCCAGTTTAGCCTAATTGATGAGTTCTAGGCTAATGAAAAACCATGTTTCAAAAGAGATGAAGAGGGCTCCTGAGGAACAACACTCAAAGTTGTCCCCTAGCCTTTATTGATAGTGCACACTTAACATGCGCATTCATACATACACAGAGGGGAGACAGAGAGAGAGAGAGAGAGAGAGAGAGAGAGAGAGAGAGAGAGAGGCCATATATACATGAACATATATGTACATACACATTCATTAAAAGTAAGTAAATATCTCCTGGTTTTAGACTTAAGTAAACAGTTCAATGTCTGAAAGGCCATTCTGCAGATGAGACCCTGCCAGGGGTACCCGCTTTGGGTAGAACCATGCATGGTAGAGCCTGTTCAACTGCTCTTGAATTTTCCTCACTAGATGGAGCCCACCTGTGGAAAGGAATCCCCCCTGATAGCACAGATCCAGGGCACATGCCCACAGCTGGCTCAGGAGGTACAAAGTTAGTGAGCCGCCTTCTGTCATAAGCCCTTCCCACCCAACACATTCAAAAGAAAAGCAATGTGTTGGGCATAGTGGTGCACACCTGTGGCTCCAACACTCAGGAACTGAGGCAAGAAGATCAACAAGCTGGAGGCCAGCCTGGGCTATAGAGCAAGTTCAAGGCCAGCCCAGGCCATGAGACCACATCCAAAAAAAAAAAAAGACCCAAGGTCAAGAATCAGCAAAGGGAACCTCCTTAAATTAAAAGGTTTCTGTACAGCAAAGGAAATTGTCATGGAGCAAAGAAGGAGCCCACAGTTATACATCTGACAGAAGATTAATATCTAAAATATACATCAAGAAACAAACAGCTCAATGAAAACTGGGGTATGGAACTAAACAAAGGTTTCTCTAAAGAAGAAATACAAATGACTAATAAACATTTTAAGGGATGGTAAGATGGCTCAGTGGGTAAAAGCAAGCTTAATGTCCTGAGTTTGATTCCCTATCCCACAGTAAAAGGAAAGAACTGACTCCCCAAAAGTTGTCATCTGACCTCTGCATGAACGTGTCCACACACATACATGCACACTGATAATAAGTAAAACACAATTTCGTTTTTTTAAATGTTCAGCATCCTTAGCTAGCAAAGAAATCCAAATGAAAATACTTTAGATTCCATCTCACCTTAGTCCAAAATGGCTGTATCAAGAAAGACGTGACAACAAAGGCTCGGGAGAGTGTGAGGAAAAGGCACTGCTTAGCTACTGACAGCAAAAATGGTCCGGCCACTGTGGAAATTACTGTGAGGTTTTCTCTAAAACATGGGGTTGAAGAGACGGTTCATCAGTTATGAGCACTTGCTGCTCTTGCAGAAGACCTGGGTTCAGTTCCCAGTACCCACATGGCAACTCACAACCATCTGTACTCCAGTTCCAGGGGATACGATGCCTTCTTCTGGCCTCCATGGGTACCAGGCATGCACATGGTGTACTTACATATATGGAGGCAAAACACTCATACACATAAAAATAAACTTTTCTTTAAAACTCAAAGAAAAGAAAAATGCTGAAAAATAGAACTGCCATATGACTCCTGGGTATATACCCAAAGGACTCTGCATCCTGCT